CTTTATGTTAAGAACGTTTAAAATACTGAAACAAGTGATAATTAAGTGAACTTTAAATTTAACGTTGTGTAGAGTATTGTGTTTTAATCTTAAAATACCTATAAACTTTAAAATTGAAAGTAATTGTTAACGAATAATTAACCTACTGCCGCGCCGTTATAAACTGTGACTTATAATTTTGTTAATGTACCCGACGCGACGGTAGTGAATCTTTCCCGTGTCGATTGGAAAAAAAAAAAAAAAAACTGAGTGACTTTGTTGCTGTGGATTTTTGGTTCGGGCATTTATTGCTGTGCCAAAATATAATTTATTTATCACGACAAGAATAACTAAAATTATATTATAAAATGGATCAAGATTTAATTGAATGGGGTTGTTGTTCTTTAGGGTTTGAAGATAATATTTATAAGCTTTGCAACACATGTAACAAGGCATATCATCTTAAATGTCTAACCAATGATGTCGACAATTTGAAAGCGATAAAGCATGCTACTGACTGGATCGGTCCATGTTGCATTAGACCTCTCCACGCGACTGGCAATAAGGATAACACACCAGTAAAATGTGACCCTAATATTACAGTACGAGCCTCCAAAAGACAGGCATTGTCATCCCCCCCGGAAATTGAAATTGAAGGCCCTGTAACACGTACAGAGGTGCGTAACATTATGGAGGAAATTATTCAAAAGCATATATCAGACCTTATGGTTCAGATGACCAAAAACGTGCGTTCCATTCTAGATACTGAACTTAAAACATTTCGGGAAGAAATTTGTAACATGAAGCAGAAAATGGATGATATGAATAGAAAATGTGAAGATATTCAAAATAAAAATACTAAGTCTCTGGAAGATACTAAGAGTCTGATTGAAACAAATGCCAAATTGCAGAGTACTATAAAATATCTTGAGACACGCATGAACAACCTTGAGCAGAACGCCCGCAGCAGCAACGTCGAAATTCAATGCTTGCCAGAGAAGAAGTCAGAAAATCTTTTCACGGTGTTCAACAACATTTGCAGTATAGTAAAGTGTGACATCAAAACTGAACAGATAAATCGAATAACAAGAATTGCCAAACTCAATCCGAATAATGATCGTCCTCGTTCGGTGATAGTTGAATTTAATAACACTAGAGTACGAGATAGCTTCTTAGCAGCCACAATCAAATTTAATAAAGCTAACCCGGATAACAAGTTGAACTCTAGTCACCTTGGTTTTAATGGTCCTAAGACTCCGGTATACGTAACAGAGCACTTGTCAGCTGCAAATAAGGAATTGCATTCGGCGGCGAGGAAGACTGCAAAGGAAAAAGGGTTTAAATTTGTTTGGGTGAGAGGTGGACGTATATTTCTAAGAAAAAAGTGAAAATTCAGGCTTTATTCAAATTAAAAATTTTGATTCATTATCAAAACTAGAGTAATTCGCTAATTGTTTCTATTAGTTAATATAAAGTTAAAATATAATGTCATCTGCTAATATTAATTCGCTTGTAATTTATTACCAGAATGTTAGAGGTCTTAGGACCAAAACACAAACATTTAATCGTAAGTTAGCAACTAGTGACTATGATGTAATAGTCTTAACAGAGACGTGGTTAAACAGCAGCGTATTGAGCTCCGAACTATTTGATAACCGTTACACAGTATTCAGAAGGGATAGAGAAACGTCAGGATTTCATGGTGGCAAGGATGGAGGTGGGGTTCTGGTTGCGGTAAAAAAAGCTTATCTTCTGACTGTATAAATGAATGGAATAGTGCATGTGAAGATCTTTGGATTGTGATAAATCTGCCTTTTTTCAGTAGTTAAAAAGATCGCACTTTGCGCCGTTTACCTCCCACCACCAATTCAACGTAGCATGTTAGAACATTTTGTTAATAACTGTAATGCGGTTCTAGAGAATTTTGACGGACATCTATGTATTATTGGCGACTTTAATATGAGTAATATAGATTGGACGCAGGTTAATCACAATTCAAGCTACTGCACCACCAGTCTTTGTCAAACATTAATAGATTTTACTTTTGTTAATAATCTAAAACAAATTAACTGTATAATTAACGCTAGAGATAAAATATTGGATCTAGTTCTTACAGATATTGATAACTGTACTGTGTCTTCTGCTTATGATGTTTTATCCAACATCGATCCACAACATCCACCTATATGCACTTATATCGCATCTGATGAAACAGAAAAACTAACGCCTAATATGAGTGTTCTTAAGTATAATTTTTATAAGGCTGATTATGAGGCAATAAATAAGTATCTTTTTAGTTTGGATTGGGACTCAATCTTCTCCCTATGCAATGACGTGAATAGGATGTTAGAAATATTTTATGATACTATAAATGAAGTCATTAAAAAATTTGTTCCAATTAAAAATGTTAATTGCCTTAAACGTCACCCCCCCATGGTTTAATAAAGTGCTGATTGCAAGACTAAAGGAAAAAAATAAACTTCGGCTTAAGTATAAAAAATATAGTAACCCTTTAGACGAAATTGAACTACAAATTTTAAGTCAAAGATGCGATAAGTTAGCTAAAGAGTGTTATAATAATTATATTGTTAACATAGAGAAAACGATTAGGCAAAATTCAAAATACTTTTGGTCATTTATCAAAAGCAAACGTGGAGGGTCTAGTGCCTATCCCAGGTCTGTCACAGATGGTATCACTATAGCAAACAATGGCCAAAGCATTTGTGAATTGTTTGCTGCAACTTATTCAAGGGTCTATGGTGATAATCCAAAAGAAGGACCCCATTCTGAAGTTGAAAGTCTTAGAATCATTGATAATGGGAGTTCATGTTTTTCCAGTCTTACCGTTGATCTCAATGTTATTGTTAATAAACTCAAAACTTTAGATATTACCAAAGGTACTGGTGCCGATGGATTAGCGCCAATATTTCTTAAAAATTGTACTGATAGTTTAGCTTTTCCTTTGTGTAAAATTATAAATGAGTCATTTATTACTGGAGTGTTTCCAGATCTGTGGAAGCTTGCAAAGGTAGTACCAGTCTTTAAATCAGGTGATATTGGTATTGTTTCGAATTATCGGCCAATCTCGCTACTTTCTACATTAGCCAAGCTTCTTGAATCAATCGTTTGTCCTCATATTCAAACCTATTTCCGACAATTTATGACTGACTCTCAGCACGGTTTCGTGAAAAATAGATCAACTTTAACTAATCTTGTAACTTTTGTCGAAGATCTTGTAGATGCCATTGACAATAGAAATCAAGTTGATGTTATCTATACCGATTTTAGCAAGGCATTCGACAAAGTTTCACATTCAATTTTGCTAAGAAAATTAAGCTCCTATGGATTCACAGGAAAGATTTGGGATTGGTTTAAGTCCTATTTAAGTAACCGTTCCTTCTACGTAGTCTTGGATGGGTTTAACTCTGATACTTACGATATAACATCTGGTGTGCCGCAAGGATCACATCTTGGGCCCATACTTTTTAACATCTTTATTAACGATATAACTGATAGTTTTATTTACTCTAAACCTTATCTTTATGCAGACGATTTAAAGATTTCTCGTAAAATTGTTGATGATTCCGATGTAATACTATTGCAATCTGATTTAAATAGGCTGTCACACTGGTGTAAAAATAACTCAATGAACCTAAATGTAAATAAATGTTTTCATATTAAATTTTGTCGAAACCGTAACTTTATAAGCTCGCATTATATAATAGATGATTCTACTTTAAGTGAAGTAGATACTGTTTTAGACTTAGGGGTAGTGTTTGACCGCAAATTGACATTTATTCCACATTATGATCATATTGTCAAGAAAGCATCGAAAATGTTAGGATTTATTATTAGAAACGGTAAAATTTTTCGCAGTTATCAAACAAAAAAAATATTATATAATGCCTTTATTCGTAGCACTCTTGAGTATTGTAGCGTAGTATGGAGACCGCACTATGCTACCCATTATCTGCGGCTAGAAAGGATACAGAAGAGATTTCTTTGGCACCTGGCGTACTCTTCTGGAATGGGACGAAGGGGCTTCTCTTACTCTTACTCCCACAGGCTAAAACATTTTAACATGGACTCTCTTGAAAAACGCAGAGCTATTATCGACCTAACTTTTATTTTCAAAATTTTAAGAAGTCAAATAGACTGTCCCCAACTTATAAGTTACATTAAATTTAGGGTGCCCAGGACACTTCCGCGAGCTCCCATTCTTCCACTTGCCCCACCATTTCGTAGGACTGTGCTTGGTAACAACTCTCCTGTAGCTAGGTTAAGTAAACTTTATAATGGGATCAGTAGCCGGACAGATATAAATTTTGTTTCCTCGTACAAGTTTCGCAAGTACTTGTTAGACACAATTTCAAATTAAGTTATTTTTATTTTGTATGTTTACTACACATAATATCTAAATCACTGGTTGTTTTGTTGTTCTGTTTTAAAATGTTTTAATTAATTTTTTTTCTTAACATAATATGTAAATTAACACTTTAATTATGGTTTAGCGGTGTTTACCTGTAAGTAATTGTGCAATTAGTATAAGACTTTATCATACATTTATATTTAGTATGTTAAATTGTAACAATTGTAGGTAGACCTTTTTTAAAAAAAATAAAAAATAAATAAAAAAGGTAAGCAAAGTAGCGCACATAACTCATGCATAGGGAGCTGTGAAATTTTATGGTCCCGACGCACCACTAAACCTGCTCGTGGGAATAAAGCTATGAATAAATTTAATGTTACGGGTTTAATATTACTTTATTTTTAATAACCAATGTTTTGTGTGCTTCGCATCATCCTTGGTCATGAATGGTGGAGGAGGGAGGAAAATGAGGTGTTCAACGTCTTATTAGTTAGAAAAGTGTAAATAAGATGCCTGTCCACCAGAGAAATGGATATTTAGATATTACTGGCATGCGGTAAAGCCTATCTTGATACAATTCTACGTTGTAGACATTTTAAAGGCATGTAAATGTAAGCATGAAGGAAACAGGATAATTATCTAATAATTCTACCTGAGGAATAATGGATATTTTTTCCCTTAAATCATGTAGACCAATTGTAGATATGTCAATGCCATCAATTCTTAGTGATCCGTCCAAATACGCTAGTCTGAACATAGCTTGTATTATGGAGGACTTCCCCGCACCAGTTCTACCCACGATGCCGATCTGGAAGCAATTCTCTTATAGCAGTAGATAATTTATGTTTTCTTCGTATTTATAAATAGTTCCTTTAATACCTTCTCTTGTGGACGAACATCAAAGTTTAACTTATGAAGCACGTAGTTGCCATCAGGAGTATATTTTAAACTGAGGTTATCGAATTGTATAGCTCCTTCCGACGGCCAATCCTCAGGAGGTGCTTTATCAGCCCCCTGCAATAAGAAATTTTTAGTAGTACACATAATTTGGTAGCATACAGTCCACTTGACGGTAAGTGGATGCCGTGGCACATAAAGCTTGATTAACAATCAAAATGCAGATGCGTTGCCACTCCTGAGGACTATGATGGAATGCCTCAAGTCCAGTAAACGGGGTCTACGGTTCTCTAATAACATCATACGAAATACACCAGTATTATGCTGCTATTTTATGCTGGTAATGTGTGAGCTTAAAATAGCTGTAGCATGGCTCCACCACGAAAAACTAAGTCTTATTTCATGGTCGGGATATCTGTATTGACGGTCACTATAAATGTTGTCAAGTTTGAAGTACGACGCCGGCTGAGAATGCAATAAAAGTTCCATTTATTATGGAGGTTGGATGTGGTTAGGTTTAGGTATCATGAGAAGGAAGAGAGAGTATCACATAACTAACACCATAATAAAATAACTCAAAACAAAAGATTAAATCAGTTGTGAAAATGATGAAATGTTTTTTTCTTCTTCCTTTATAAGCCTTTTACAGTCTACTACTAGAATGTTTATACCCTCAGCTATTGGACGTTATGAAGTGTTTACGGTCTTTCCTGATTTCCTGTGGTCGTCTTTTCGACACCCATGGGACGAAATCAGATGATTGATTCTCTTAAGTCACCACTACACCTAACGTAGTTGTTACAATTAATTTTGAATAGATCTACTACTAAAATTGACCTGTCAGGTAGAGCGAGGTAAAATATCACCTCATTTCGTCGTATGGTTTTTGAAAGAGGCGACTATAACCATCCTTTTTACACCAGACTTGAAACATTTAGCCGGCGATGCGCAGCAACGTTAATTTTGCGAGACTTCTGATATTGCGATCGACAAATTTTGCCTGACAGGGGTGACGATTAAGGCAAGTCATCTCTATACTGGGAGAGGTCCATGTTAAGCAATGGTACGGGCCGACAAAGCACAAGAATAATAATGTTGTACGTGTAGATGTGAGTTGAGTTTAGTAAGGGCGTCGTCAAGGGTAGGGAAGGACAACTGGCACTCTAGAGACTCAAAAAATGTAGTCTTATGCAAAGAAACCTTATTTATTATACAGTCAAAAGCTCCACACATTGAAGTTTGTACGGTTCTTATTACAATCGCTGATTCGATTTAGAGGTAAAACTCACAATAGAAGACAACATGAAGCTCTACTTCATGTGCTCTTGTACTTACATTACCCACCTCTATACATCAACCTGACCCCCTCCCACTAGGCCATCAGTAGCGACGCTCTTGGAGTTTAGTATTAGGACTAGTTTGGTGTGCATTTTTCCACAAAACAGATTCACTTTGCGCATTTTTTTGTACATTTAAAAATTATTAGTATACCAATTTCATTTGGTAATTAAATATTTTTAAAGCTTACAACAGAGATAAACTCGGATAAAGTGTCATAAGCACGAGTCGATTACAGTAAATCCATACTCGAAAGAAACCATTTATGATGTGAAATGTAGTAGATTACAAAAAACTGTTAAAACGTACAATTTTCAGTGCAGGTTCCTGTGGCAGTTTTGTATATTCAAGAACTCTTTCTACGCTAGTCATTTGATTCTCCATCTCTGCTGACTGCCGCATACCCCACTGGAATATACCAGTTAGGGATATCGACTGAGTTATAACAAGACCGACATTACTGCCTTCGATATCTAAAAATAAATTATGATATTTTATATTGAGGCTCATATTCTTCTAATTTAGGTGTAGTTTTTTTCGATCGCATTTAATATAAAAATACTAACGCTAAGCATTTATACGAACGGCTCATATTATACAGGGTTATTTTTCAAAGAGTATCCAAATTTCATATTTAAGTTCAAATATATAATCATAATCTTTATTGCATTTTAATGATAGACCGTTGTTGCAGTTTTTGAAAATAAGAATAAATAAGGCTTCTAATTTTATTTGAAATTATCCCAAATTGAAATTGACTTATGGGCAACAACTACACATATGCGCGTTCCTCCGAATTCACGTTTTTGCCGACCGAGCAACTCTTACAAAAGTGCGTGCTTGCGTGCGTGCGTAGTAAAATAGTAGGCTTTAGAAATTAATAAATGACAATTAGTTAAAATAATGCATTACCAGAAATTCTAAATTTGAAAGATAAAAAGGACAGAATATTTGAGATTTTTTTTAAATTAATTTTGCTTCATCCACCTATATTACTTGTTCTGGACCTTTTATGCAAATTTGGTCGTATACTGCGAAATAACCATGTATATTATACTACTACTAAATTCCAATGAGTATTATATAACTACATATTATTATGATCTTACAATTGTTCGTAATTCAAATTTTAATATATATAATTATCAACGGTAGATAAATACCGGTTTTCATCAAGCAACTGAACGTGACGCAGATAATAAACAGTAAACAGATAATATCGAGGAAGTATCCAAAGGCTCGGCTGCACGTGATAAAGAGGTACCACGCCGCGCTATGCAGATCTTGATGGCGGTCAAACTCTTGCGTGAGCAGCTGTTGCGCGCCAAATGAGCGGATCGTTGCAAGACCCAATACCGTTGCGTTTACGTGACCGAATACTGGACTACGAGCTGATGAGTATATATAAATGTCCTGAATTAAATTATCATAAATTTTTATTTTATACGTGATAAAGCTAACACGTAGTAGTTCCTTAATTTTAAGGTAGAGCTACGCTACGGCGAATATCCTGATACAATAGGACTCAATTGGAGAAGGATTGCCCGCGCGAAAAATGCCAACGTAAAATAGCAGTCAAGTGACAACATACCCGAAGTTTTCAATTCAAAATAGATGATAGATTTAGGTGTCCACACTCCACAGACCATAGTACCAAATTACCAAGAGGTTAACTGTGTTCACGTTTGTCACTTTTACTACTATAAAACATATAAGTAAATAGAAATACAAATCAAGAGCGAATTGACACCATGGGTATTGGAAAAATCATAGCATAGGTACATTAAATAACAGTACCTGAATGACCGATCTGTGCTCGGTACTTTTTTTGAAATCGTGTGTTTTGGAAATTATATTTAGATTCAAATTACATACTGATGAAATATGAATAATATTTTTTGATCTTACTGACATAATAGAAAAAACTGAACTGGTTATTTGAATAAAAAATCATGAGTGCAATTAGTTTAACTTAAATTTTCGTGCTTTTAAAAAAATTAAAAAAAGGGCTTGATATAGTAGAATTTCCAAAAAAGAAGGGAACTTGAAAGAAAAGGTTTAGTATTAACTTAGTATTAACTTACTTGGTATTAGATTAGATAAATATCAAGTTAGATTGTAACTTTAACTTTAGATTAGTTAGATAATATAAAGTTAAAGTTACAACCTATAGACGTTGGCTGTGAACAGATCTCATTTCTGAGAGGGTTTTACAACATTAATACCGGGCTATTTTTCAAAGAGAAGCCAAAGGGGAATGCACACCGTTCATAGACACTGGTCAAGGATGCCTACTTATAAAATCACATGGAAATGAAAATATGCAATTAAAAGAATGAATTGGTTAAGGGATTGGTTTAAAAAAGTCCGGATTTTTAAAATACAAAAGTTTTTATTTTCAAAAATACAGTTTTTTTAACTACTTTTGCCGATTTTATCACGTTTATTTTCTTTGATTTTTAATTCCCGACCATAATTACTGTATATATATCAGAGATTCCAGACGTTTCGGGTGCTTTCCAGCACCAATGGTCACGGGGGACTGAGGTAACTGACGTCCTGAGTCAGTGTTAACCTTGAGTACCTTCTGCTTCTAACTATTATTTATGGTCCGATCAACGCGGAATGAACTTACTGGGTCTTGAAGTCTTGCAGTGGTATGCTTGAGTTTAGTTTTAATTTTATTAATTACAGGGTCTATTTTAATAATGACACCATAAATAATCGATTGAAAAAAGGGAATCGATTTTTTTAAATAAGATTTGTGATTGGAAACACTTTTTATTTTATCCATAAACCAATGAATTACAGACTTAACTATTTTTTATCTTTTCGGTACTTTTATGTGCAAAAATGTTCCCATCTTATTTGCATAAATGAATACCGCGATTAATAAAATAAAGATATATTTTTTTTAACAAATGCAAATTGTTGGACGTTTAATGGCCAAAGTTGGGCATTCCCTTTTAAACTTAAGTTCAAAATATATAAATAGTGATATACCGTTCTTGTAGTTTTTAAAAATACGAGCAAATAAGTACTTTTATTTGAAATTATCCCAAATTGAAAGTGGTTTATGGGCACAACGTTTTTGCCCACCGATCGGACCTTACGAATGTGTACGTGCGCAGTAAAATCAGTTTAAATAATGCATTACCACGCATTTTGAAATAAAATGGAGAGAATGTTTGAAGTTTCTTTTTTAATTAATTTTTCTTCACCATTTTCCTATATTACTTATTTATTTATTGCATTTACATGTGGTTTTGTATGATACATTTCAGCACATGCAGCCAGCAGAACAACTTATTCCGAACCCTCTCTGCAAATTTGGCCGGTTATTGCAAAATAAACCTTTATACTTACTAACAATACGGACTTTTTCGTTAGAAATGATATTCATTACAATTTTGATACTTACTGATCCCTTCTAGACGTTTAATAGCGCTGGTAGTGCGCACGTATATGACACGAAAAATGTAGAAAATGATCAGAGACGTAGTGATAGGTATTAACATGGTGATATCAGTCATCAGTATTACCACAATTACTCCCAATAGGTTTAAAATTATCTGAAAATAAAATTATGGTAAGATTATCACTTGCACGCGTTAAACGTATTTTATTCAAAATGGTTTACAAAAATATACTTGTTGAAAGTGATCTTTTACCATATCAGTGCTTTGGAAAAGTAGGTAACTTTGTTCTGTGAAGTACCAGCTAAAGAACTAGCTTGAATTTTCATGATATGATAAATTTGATAAGATGAAATAGGATAAGTAGTTTGTCTTTTCAGGCAGGCAGGCTTGGTGGAAATTAAGATATTCCTGTCAAATTTTTTTTATAGGATAGGGTGACAAACGAGCACACAGTCCACCCGATGATAAGTGGTTGCTGTGGCCCATAGACACCTACATCTATCCTCGATTACGAATCAAAATGCAGATGCGTTGTCACCCGTGAGGACTGAGATGGAATGCCTCGTTTCCAGTAAAAAGGGTCTCCGGTTCTCTCCACTCACCATACGAAACAGATCAGGCTACTATCTTACGCTGGTATTCCGTGAGAGCGTGGTCCTTCCCCCATCGAGCCGACCCTTTCGTGCTACATGCAGCATGGCTCTACCACGTATATATAATTCTTGCACAGTCATAGTATGTAAAACGAATAAATACAAAAATGATTCAGTTAGCGAAGTTTGAGAAGATGATGAGAGGGAAACATTGTTACGTAATGGGAACACTAACTGAAATATATTAAATACAGACATATACAACTTAATTTAGAGTTTACAGTAATCATTAATTAAGATTTTCATAACAAGAACTTCCTTTAAGACAGGCAAGGGATCTACAGTTCAAGTTTAGAGAGGTTGAAATTTAACATTTTCTCGCAAACTCTATATGGAACAATTTTTATCTTGAGAAAAACCACAAAAGCATATCAAATATCAAAGTTTATGAAGGTTTGGATGTTCAATTCATACTGAGACAAACTTAGGATTTAAGATTAGGACAACAAAAACGATAAAAAATATCTATTTATTTAAATTTCAATCTTAAATTAGTCAATAATTGAGTCACAGAAAGAAATAAACTTAAGAAATTTAGAAATATTATTTTTATTAACGGGCTGTAAGAAAAAAGGATGCAAATATATCTATAGTTATAGAATACTTAATTTACAAAACGAGATATACAAATACAAAATTCAGTAAGTAGTCATGTAATATAAAAATTTGATCAAAGTTACTTACTTGAAAACAATCTAACATTGCTTGTGGCAATAGCTCGTCGACAGCTCCCATGTCTTTGCTAAAACGATTCAATATTCTGCCTGATGGATTTGCGTGGAAAAAACTCATAGGCGATTGTGATATGCAATCGAACATTTGATCGTGTAACCTGTGAAATATTTGATTATTTTTGTCTCTATCTTCTTTTTAGCATTTTGAAAAGGATTATGTAATGCAGAGGACTTCTGCATTACATAATCCTTTTCAAAAAGGTGAATACCATTTAACGAGGTATGACGCCATAATATGTAGTAAATTATTACTCATAATATGGCTACGCTCCATGGTGTTATATCTAAGATGGGTAAGGCACCCGGAGAAGGACCATGCTCGCACAGAATACCAGAGTGAAATAGCAGCTTAATGTTGCTGTATTTGGTTTGTTAAGTGATGAGAAGTGGAGGCTCATTTTAATGGAATTGAGGCATTTCATCTTAAAGTTAAGTTAAAAGTGCAACACATATACGTCCCACTGCTGAGCAGAGGCCTCCACTCATTTTTGAGAGGATATTACGGCTAGGAAGTGTCCACCTGTCCACCACCCCGCCCCAATAGGTGTGGCGAACTTCACATGTCTTCGAAATATTTTTTTCTTATTTCTCAGATATGAAGGTTTCCTTACAATGTTTTTATTTACCGCCGAGCACGTGGTTGGAGGAGCAATTTAGTTGGTGCCGGTGGGGATCCAACTCGGGTTGCTTGCGTACATACCATCCTAGTCCTCAGGAATAACGACGTATTTATATTTTTTGGACTAGACTTTGAAAACTGCGTTGAATGGTAAACACATATAATTATTAGCTTCTATGGAACATTGCCCGGCGTATGTGGACTATGAGGAAGCCTTTGATTTCGTCGAAATTTGTGTGGTGCTACAGTCTCTTCAGCGGTGCAAAGTTGACTGTCGGTATATTTAAGTGAAGTGTTTGTACAGTAGGGCTACGATGGCTATCCGAGTACAGAACCAGAGTACGTAACCTATCCAACTGCAGAGAGGTGTAAGACAGGGTGACTTTATTTCCCCGAAACTCTTCACCGCTACATTGGAAGACGTTTTCAAGCTACTGGACCGGAAAAGATACGGTATTAACGTCAATGGTGAGTGCATCACTCACCTTCGATTTGCCGACGATATAGTCCTTATGGCAGAATGGCTGGAGGACTTAAGCACAATGCTCAATGACCTTAATAGTGCCTCCCAACGGATAGGTCTTAAGATGAACATGGACAAAACGAAGATCATGTTTAATGTCTTGTCACACCTATGCCGGTAGTTGTTGGGAGCACTAAACTCGAAGTTGTTGACAAATACGTTTACCTGGGACAAATTGTCCGACTACGTAAGTCCAACTTCGACCGAGAGGTCAATCGACGGATTCAACTCGACTGGGCAGTGTTCGGGAAATTACGACACATCTTCTCGTCAGGTATACCTCAATACCTGAAAACTAAGTTGTACAACCAGTGCGTGTTGCCAGTGATGACCTACGGAACCGACTAGATGGAGTGACGACCTGGTAAGACATGCAGGAAGTCGATGGATGCAGGTGGCTCAGGACCGTGCTTTGTGGCATACCTTAGGGGAGGCCTATGTTCAGCAGTGGATTTGTGAAGGGCTGTAATGATGATGATGATTAATAGAACATTTTAGATGAATAACATTTTATAATAATTTTTAACAGCTTATTGTAATAAACGTTTATTTATATCAGTGTAGGTATATAAAAAGTGTAATCTCATTAAGTTTCAGTAACCCTTTGTATTTACTTACTTTATAGAGGACTTCATGCACAGCGAAAAGAACAGAAAAGCTCGAAATAGGGCAACGGCGACGGTCGCAATTGTAAGAATGCCGAATATAACAACGTAATGGTTGCGATACAAGCCGCCTTGTGACCATATCAAGTTGTCTATGGTAGGGTCTCCCGTCAAATGGTCTTCAATGAGACTCCTTGAAAATATAAATAAAAAAGGATAGTGACAATAGATTTAGTTGCATTTTACCCATTACTTAAACTTGAACTAAGTACAAATATAATTTTTTTATTAATTAAGTTATATTTAACTGGATACGAGACATTGCATCTTAGTCCTCAGGAATGACTACAAATCTGCATATTGATCCGGAATAAATGTACCTAGATGTCTATGGGCCTCGGTATCCACTTACCACCAGGTGGTCTATGTGCACGTTTGTCATATTCTATAAAAAGATCTACCCGACACAATTTGCAAACTTGGCATTAGGATTGGTTTTAATGTATTTTTCTCTAAGAGTCTTTTAACCTACTGATGATAAATGCCTATAGAAAAATACGCCATCTGGCATGCATAATATTTACCATTACTATACCTCTAGCTAAGCCTATATACGTTCCACTGCTGGGCACAGGCCTCCCCTCATTTCTGAGAGGGTTTTAGGGCAAGGAAGTGTCCGCCGCGCTGCCCCAATGCGTGTTGGCAAACTTCACATGTCTTCAAAATATTTTTTTTCTTATTCCTCAGACATGCTGGTTTCCTCACGATGTTTTCCTTCACCGCCGAGTACGTGCTAAATCAGCATTTAAAATATAACAACAATTTCATTGGTGCCGGCGGGGATCGAACCCGGGTTACTCGCGTTCTGTTTATATTTACAGCGAGCATTAATCATCTGAGCTCTATTACCACGGCTCTATTTACCATTTTGTAGAACGAAATCAATTCGGCATTTCTAAAAAACATTCCGCCATTCGCTAAACGCGAGAGCCTCTCGTAATGGCGGCTGTACATGGTCGTCGAGACACCACGAGACAGGCCGAGTACGAGTGTGTACTCTCGTCGTGTCGCGGCGTGTCTCGCGGCCATCGTCCGCTCTCGGAAGCTTGTCGGTTTTTGCGCTCGAGTAAATGTTTCTGTTACGGTCAATAGAAACCATTCACCATTTTCTTCTTCGCCATGGCTTATTAATTTTCTTTTTATGGTATTTGTGTAAAAAATTGTAATAACTTTGTATGATTTGTAAGGCCGTACACTTTTAAGAAGTAGAGTTGTAGTTAGCTGATGAGCACGTAAAAAGGAAAAGACCACCAAAGTTAAAAGTTTAATTACAATTTAAAAGTAATAAATTAATAAAGTTAGAGTGAAAAATCTTTCCTTGAATAGTTGGTGTTAAGAAGGACGGTTGTTTACGTACTGCCGATCGTATGTTTGCAATTAAATAAGTTAATTAAAAGTAGGTTGCAACGTTTACTAAATAAAAATGTGTGGTGTAACCATACAAACTTTATAGCATAAAGGCCAACACAGTAACAGTTTTATCTAGGTCCATCTCAGCGGGCATACGGAGTTCAAATGATACAACGAGTAAAATATCACCTAAATGATGATTATGAAAGAAACTTTAGTTTAGGAATAGCACAGAACATCATACCATCTGCTTATCCAAAAGTCACTGGCGCTAGCAAAAAACTGCGCGAGGTTGAACATCATACAGACAATAAAAACATAGATGTAAGATGTGCCTGCTAAGAAATATTCTTTGTACACCGATCCACGGACTCTTCCTGTGGCCTGTGCTTCTGCTTCTAGTTCTTGATCCTGGAAAAAACTTAGTATTATATAGTATTTGGAATATTTATAGTAGGTAATACTTTTCAAAGGGTCCCTTTTCGGTCAGAGATTCCACCTGTGTTGGTAACATCACTATAAGTGTTTTGCCACCATTTCAGCCTTCAGCAGGCCACTGCTAAACAAAGGCGTCGCTTGAGACGAGCCACTTAGACCGATCTCTGGCTACACGCATCCAGTTCCTACCAGCTGCTTTGCGCAGATCGTCGCTCCGTCTAGCCAGGGGCATCCCACACTACATTTACCTAAACGCGGTCTCCACACTATGACACGCCTACCATGTGTGATTTATTATATTTTATTTTTATTTGTATGTTATGGAAAACCTACAGCTTATAAATCTCAAGTAAAAACCAATAACAGGTTCTTATATATAATATAATAATAGAAATACACTAACATAATCTTTCGTCGTTTAAAGGACATAGCACAAATACGAGCAACAAAAATGGAGTCCAATTTAAATGTACAACATGCATATATTTAGTGAGTGAAACAAACAATAATAGCTACATAAGAAAAGAAAAGCAGGGCTAAATGCACAACTTGTTTTTTCTTAAAATAAAATAAATTAGGACACAAAAAACTTTCGACTTAAGCCCGCCTTGCCCGATACATAGCTAGTGTTAAACAAATCAAAATCATGATTTTTGCATAAATTATTAAAAATATTACTAGACCGATATAAGAAAGTATATCTTCCATAATTAGTTGATAAAACTGGTAAGAAGAGTAATGCATTCATTCTAAGGTTCACTGTAGGCGTTCTCAGTGATATTTGTGATAGCAAATCAGCAGTTAACATTGCCAGAACAAATTTTCAATAAAAATATAATATCAGCAATCTCCCGAAGCTTTATCAGAGGTAATAGATGATGCTGTTTACATAAGGATAGATAATGTTCTGATCGGTAGTTTTTATGGGTACGATAGCAAAGATATCGTATGAATTTACGTTGAATATTTTTAATCCGTGTAATGTATGTATGTACAGTATTGCGGACGTAAGTACAGTACAAGATTTTAATTGATTTTGGTTTTAGTGATTTCATCTTAATTCCTAAACGTATCTTTGGCTCTTTTTTGTTTGAAGTTGCTGCATTAGGCCCTTAACTTTATATGACTACTTCGTCGGCAGTGTTGCCGTTTCAGCGCATTTGGCGCTAGTGCAATTCTAGGGTCTATAGCGCTTTTTTTAAATAGATATTGACGTGCTAAAATACCTAGTCTACTACAACTACTACTAAATGCGCTGAAACGGCAACACTGTTTTTTGGTCTAGTGGTGATAAGCGTTTAAGTTAAAAAGTTAAGCGTGAATAAGCGACTGCTCATCCTTTGGTGCTGAATTCAAATCTGGGGTCAGGCCAAAATCAGTTATTGAGTTTTTATGCTGTGAAAGTGTCAGTAGCAGCCGGAGTCAGGAAGTTGGCGGTTTTTCACCCTCGTACCGTACGCAAGCACGAAAAAGTGTTGGTCTCTCAGTCTCTTATTTCTCCTGTTCTGTCTCTTGTTTAATTTTTTAAGTAAAGACAATTTTTGATAATATGAATTTACGTGAAGATAAAGACAGTACAAGAATATCAACTACCCCATATAGTTAGTGGGCGTTATGAGCGACGACAGAGGGAAACCATGTGCAACAACGTCTTTTTTATTGAATAAGGGTGACAAACGAGTACACAGTCCACCTTATGGTATGTGGATGCTGTCGCTCATAGACATCTACATTCATCCCCGATTAAGAATCAAAACGCGGATGCGTTGTCACCCCTGAGGACTAAGATGGAATGCCTCGTTTCCAGTAAAAAAATGTCTCCGGATCTCTACACTCACCATACGAAGCACAGTAATAAGCTGCTATTTTATGCAGGTGTTCTATGAGAGCGTAGTCCTTCCCTGGTCGAGCCGACCCATTCGTGCTACAACCATAACAAAGCTGCATCGTGGCTCTACCACGTATAAGAATCATCGAAAGTTATCAATCTTCTTCTTAATAACATCTAGAAAGTAATAAAAAGCGGTTGCAAACCAGGCTGGCAAGCGTGGCAACTGTAGTAAATGACCCCCTTATCCATTTAATGGGGAGGCCTATGTTCAGCAGTGGACTTTGACAGGCTGTAATGAATGAATGTATGAATGAATAAAGTTGTAACTAACAGCACAGCTAGAAATGCCTAGTATTATTGACAGGTGGCGTCGCGTTAAGCTGACTGCGCTGGGTAGAAGCATCGATTGACTTTGCAGATTTGGTGTAGACTCTTCTTCACGTACTTCACGAGTTTTATCTTGCATTAGTTGTATGATTGCTAATTCCTGTTCCTAAAATAAAGTAGTAAAATATATTTTAAGTAAGTATAATATATCAATTAAATAAAAAAGAAAGATGTGCCGAAAATTTTAAATAAATAGTAAGTATCTATCTTTGAGAACCAAGACTACCCAAGACTAATTTTATGTAAGTGTAATTTAGCTAAAATTCCTCGCACAAGGAAACGTTAGTTACAAATTATCGTTTTTGAAATTGTAGCAAATGTAACTTTAAGCTATAAAAGATTGATGTCTCCTGAATAAATAATAAACAATAATGTTAATACTTTCGATCACGGCAGCCAGTCAGTCAGACTATTGCGCTCGAATGTATGTACAAGCACAGGTCACAGGTGCATTCTCAATTCCCTCACTCTTATAGTATGATGAGTGATGACTGATGACAGAGAAATCCGACTTGAACGAAGAGAGATCAGATGCAGGACTACGGCATTACGTGCTTTCCGAGACACGGGGATGAAACACCGCCATAATGCAATAAAGAATGTAAAGATATATACACGATTTATTTCGCTGTTGATTTATGGTATATAAATAGTTAAAACAAAAATGTATTTAATTATGTTTAAAATGGCCATGATAGATTTTTCTTAAGGATGATATTTTTTTCCGACTTCAAAAAAAGGAGGAGGATTACAATTTGACTGTATGGTTTTTGTATGTTGGTATGTAATACGATATCTTCGTCAATTTTAAACCAATTTTGATGCTTCTTTTTATTAAATAGATTGTACTGCAGGGGTGGTCACATACTTATATTATATATCACGAGAAAATTTTTACCCCAGGGGTGACAGAAAGACGACATTGGGATTGTGATATCCTAAAAGTAAATAAATATTTTTGATTAAAAGTCAAAGCCGACTTCAAGTAACATAAAGGAAAAAATAATTACTATTTCTATTACTCTTAATCATATATTATCATAATGTTAAAACATTACATATAGTACGTGAGGGTAATATGGTCATCCGGCTAATATGGTCACATTCTTATAACTCAAATACTACAGCCTTGTTTGCATTTGTGATACGATAGCTCTTCATTGATCAATCAAATAAAGAGTCAAAAGCGCGCTGCTTTATCGACGCCATTTTAACAGTTCACATTAAAGTAAATATGCTATATAGTAATAAACTGGATATAGTAATAAACTGGATGTGTGCTATCCAGACCTCTCGCAAAATCTTCTTAACAAGTTGGAGCGCCTTCTCAATAACTGTATAAGATTTATCTTCAACTTACGAAAATACGACCACATCACTCCTTTTCGTTCCAAGCTTAAATGGCTTTCTATTCATCAGAGGCGTTGCTCCAGAATCTTAGTAACTATTTTCTCTATATTAAATGATCCGACGTCTCCTTCTTATCTTAAAGATAACTTCCACTTTCGGTGTTCAACTCTCGACCGTGAACCTCGTTCCTCTAACGTCCTTAAGATTGATTTACCTCAGCTTAGTACTGTTTTCTTTAAGTTTTCTTTTACAGTTCAGGGTCATACTCAGAAAAAGTGTACATTTTAAACTTTGTAACTAAACTGATATGTAACGATACTGAGAATATTCGTAACGAAACTAATCTCATAATTACACAAATATAACACATTAAAATAAGTACAAATTACAGATTGAGCTAATAAAACACGTGTTTGGTTTATTTGTATTAATTGAAATAATATTCAGACCAACCAAAATTATAATTTTCTAAAATATTAACATCGGTGAATTAGATATATATAACGAATCATCCGAAGGGCTCTTGTCTCTATAAATATCCCCTCGGTTTGAGAGCTTTGCGGGATATTTAGAGACGATGGCAAGAGACCCGACGGTATGACTTTGGTCCCTTGGGAGTGAGTAGTGTGGGATGCTACTTGCGTTGACACTTTGGCGGCCTCTCATCTCAAGGGTACCTCTTTTAGAGCCGGGGCGGCATCAGAGGCAGCCGAATTTAGTAAATGGCGCAAATATGAGTCTTTGAGAAATGACTACATATTCGTGCCATTTGCTGTAGAGACTATCGATCCGTGGGGTCCACGTGCAATGAAGTTTCTAAAGGAACTGTATCCACGACTGGTCGTCGCTGCTGGTGATAAGAGGGCTGGTTATTTCCTCGCTCAAAGGCTAAGTATAGCTATTAAGCGAGGAAACGCAGACAGCGTTCTTGGCACTATACCACGGGGAGCAGGTCTTTTTTGACGATTAAAATTTTTAGTTTTAGATTTTCTATATTATAGGTTTTTCTTTTATATTGTATATAATTAGTTTTAATCATAAATATTATAATTTTAATTATTATTTTAGTTAAGTTCTTTATTATAATTTTTGTAACATAAATTCAAATTTATGATAAAAGTAATGTTGTCCTTTTTACATACCTACGAATATACACATTAGATATAAAACTAGGAATAAATGGAATCTTAACAAATATTAATTTTTTCACACAGTAATACCTCAATATAAAAAACGTGATGTCGGAGGAATGTTCACGAGACCAAAATGAAGTCTAATAATTTATTAAAAGATATCAAAATTTGAGTCATTGTCACTGGCATCATTATGATTATTATTTTAAATAAATATATATTATCATGGGTAGGAAAAAAATATTTCGAAGACATGTGAAGTTGGCCAACACGCATTGGGGCAGCGTGGCAGACACTTCTTTGCCCTAAAACCTCTCAGAAATGAGGGAAAGCCTGTGTCCAGCAGTGGGACGTATATAAGCTGTAACTTTACTTTTACTTACTACTCCTGTACTCCTCAATTTAATTAAAATAAATTATTTTTTAAATGACTTACGAATGAATTAGGTCGAGTTTAATTGCTTTATTTGGCAGGAGTCATATGGCCATAGCTATGTTAAATAAAGCTTATTAATATTCGTAACAAGTTGACTCTGAAAAAGTAAAACTGGGACGCTAAAAAAATGTTCGTTTTTTTTCGATTTTTAGAAAAAGAATGATCTCAAAAAAATTATTCCTTTACTAAAAATTTAAGTTAAAATACCAAAAAATTCTTCACATTAATAGACTAATAAAAAACAAGGGGAATTGTTTTTTATCATATTTATAAAATTAGATTAACAGGGACAAGAAAAGATAACAAATGTACATCTTTTCTGAGTATGACCCTTCAGGCAATACTTCTCTGGAATGCCTTGCCCGTTAATATAAGAAAAGCATCGAATAAATACACGTTTAAAAAACTAGTCCGGCAACACTATCTTGAGGAAAACTCCATTTGACCCTTCTATTTCTATCCCTATATTTATTTATAATATTGGTATGTAAGGATCATCATCATCATCATCATTACAGCCCTTCAAAAGTCCACTGCTGAACGTAGGCCTCCCCCAAGTAACGCCACAAAGCACGGTCCTGAGCCACCTGCATCCATCGACTTCCTGCATGTCTTACCAGGTCGGCACTCCATCTAGTGGGGGGTCGCCCTACACTACGCCTACCGGTACGAGGCTGCCACTCGAGAACCTTTCTTCCCCATCGGTTATCGGTTCTTCGAGCTATATGGCCGGCCCATTGCCACTTCAGCTTACTAATCCGTTGGGCTATATCGGTCACTCTGGTTTTACTGCGGATATCCTCATTTCTGAGTCTATCACGCAGAGAAACTCCGAGCATAGCCCTCTCCACAGCTCGCTGAGCGACCTTGAGCGTCCTCATACGGCCAGCAGTGAAGGACCACGTCTCAGATCCGTAAGTCATCACTGGCAACACGCACTTTAGTTTTCAGAGATTGAGGTATACCTGACGAGAAGATGTGTCGTAATTTCCCGAACGCTGCCCAGCCGAGTTGAATCCGTCGATTGACCTCTCGGTCGAAGTTGGACTTACCTAGTCGGATTATTTGTACCAGGTAAACGTACTCGTCAACAACTTCGAGCATAGTGCTCCTAATAACTACCGGCATAGGTGTGACATGGACATTAAACATGATCTTTGTTTTGTCCATGTTCATCTTAAGACCTATCCGTTGGGAGACACTATTGAGGTCATTGAGCATAGTGCTAAGGTCCTCCAGCGATTCTGCCATAAGGACTATATCGTCGGTGCAAATCAAAAGCAAATCGAAGGTGAGTGATGTACTCGCCATTGATGTTAATACCGTATCCTTTTCAGTTCAGTAGCTTGAAAACGTCTTCCAACGCAGCGGTGAAGAGTTTCGGGGATATAACGTCACCCTGTCTTACACCTCTCTGCAGCAGTTGGATAGGTTTCGAACTCTGGTTCTGTACTCGGATAGCCATCGTAGCCCTACTGTACAAACACTTAAGCACTTCGATATACCGACAGTCAACTTGGCACCGCTGAAGGGACTATAGCACCGCCCATATTTCGACGGAATCAAAGGCTTTCTCATAGTCCACATACGCCAGGTAAAGTGGCAGATTGTATTCCTCGGTCCTCTGTACAATCTGCCGCAGGGTATGTATGTGGTCTATGGTACTGAAGCCTTTTCGGAAACCTGCGTGCGAGACGATTCGTAATGACTCTCGAAAAAGGCACGTAGGCGTGGCTCAGAAGGGAAATCGGTCTGTAGTACTTCAAGAGAGCGTTGTCGCCTTTCTTGAAGAACAAGACCACCGCACTCCTGCTCCACGCCTCCGGAGTAGTGCCACCATGGAGGACGGAATTGAAGATCTTCTGAAGGACTTCAAGTATCGGTGTTCCACCTGCTTTCAGAAGTTCCGCTGTAATTCCATCCTCGCCTGGGGCCCTGCCGTTTTTAAGTTGCTGGAGAGCCATTCTAATCTCGCTCAGACTGACGTCCGGGATATCATCGGAATAGTGTCGGGTAAGACTTGCTCTTGAATCGTTACTCACACTTGCGTGTGGCTCCAACGATGATGTGTACAGCTGCCCATAGAACCTCTCAATCCCACTCAAAATCTCAGGTGTCCCGGAAACGATGCTGCCACACTCAGTCTTCAGCTTTGACAGTTGGCTCTTTCTGGCAGACAGATCTCTG